GCTACAAGTGATCATCGAAAGGATGCGGCTTTTTGCGATAAGCGACTGGTGGAGTCGGATGTGGATTGTTCAAGAGGCCTGCGTCGCTCGACGGCTCACTATGGCTTACGGCCGTGCTTTGCTTCCATTTCACTACGTCGAGTCAGCCCAAATGCATTTGCAGTCACCCAAGATCAAACATCCAGAGCTGATCAGAGTTGTGCGCTTCTTGGCCGGCAGAGTAGATGCGATCAGTCCTGCTCGCCGCTTGAGAGAGGAGGAAGAGGAGACAATCGTCGGAGCAACTACAAGCAGCTCTCTGCTGTGGCTTCTCAGAAGATTTCGCCATCGCAAATCCTCGGAGCCGCGAGACAAGATCTTCGCTCTCCTCAAGCTTGCTGAGGACATGAAATCGAAACGGCCATTTCTACACAACCAGCTGAGTATCAAGGCTAATTACGAGGATGATGTCAGTGAGCTCTTCTCTCACGCAACATTTGAGATCATCCGCCATACCGGTCTGCTCTGGATGACGACACCAGACTTGCTTTCCAAGAGCCGTATCGATATTCCTTCTTGGGTGCCAGATTGGTCTTCCGAGCATATGGCTTCTGGTTTCAATCAGAGACGGTATCGTCTCCAAGAGGAAGCGTCCTTGGGATTCAACGCAAGTCGTGCACGGTTTTGCCACTACCCGTTGAACTTAGAGGGTCGAACTGAGAATATGTTTCCACGACAACACCTCGAAGGCCTGCTCAATGACGACATAGCCGAATGGAAGCCTATTCATTTCCTCCCCACTATGATCAAATTTACCTCGAGCCCGCCGTTTGAAGAGCACAGACAGCAGTCTGCCTTGATTCTGAAAGGCGTATCTTGCGGCGTCGTTGACCATACCAGCCAGGTCATTCGCAGTGATCTCTCAAACGTTGGCCAGGCCATTGCCCAGGTTCAGGCCTTTTACGGAAGGAAACAAGGGCGGCAAAACCATCGAGAACCGTTCCTCGAGGCCGTTGCAACCTGCCTCTCTATGTCTATGCAGGTCCTCAGTGACGATGACGGCTCCCTCCGCACACTCGACCTTGACAAACGGCGAGAACTCTCCTACTGGGCCTTCGGGCAGTACGCAGGTGCGCTCATGCGAGTGAGCCGTGATCAGAATATCCTAGAAGACTTCTATAGTGCGGTTGCAGCTTGTCCAGACGGATACACAGTTGATGCCATTTCCTCAACAGGAGGGTCGCTTTTACGATTTGAAGCTTCAACAGTGCCTGACGGCGACCAACATCAGTGGAATGATGACTTGGATACCGATGAATCGTATAAAATCGCCTGTTTACCAAAGGATTATGATCTTCTAGAGTGGACCGAGCCGGAGGGTACTTCATGGATGGAGGACACCGTTCGGACTATGGCCGCCGGAAACCGATTATTCGTTACAGATCGAGGCCAAATTGGGCTAGGCCCAGGCAGCATGTGCGTGGGAGATGAGCTCTGCGTTCTTGAAGGCGGGCTTATGCCATATATGTTACGAAAACACTTCGGAACGATCTGTACCGAATCTTCGAGGGTTCATCAGATGGAAAGCATCAAAGGCGTGCACCGGTTCACAATGGTCGGAAGCTGTTATGTTGATGGCATCATGACTTGGGGCGACGAAGCGCATGGCTGGGGAGATAACGCTGACGATATCGAGGAGCTGGATTCGAAATTGAGGCGAAGGCTTCACGCTCCTGAACTTGCCGAAGTCGCGTTTCTTCTCGTCTAAGTGACGCAGCATAGCGGGATGGCACTACCGGACCGTCTGTCACAGTCTGCTGCAAGCACACGCGGAAGAACTCCCAGACTATTCCTAATATCTAAAGAGAATGGAAGAGAAAGCGTTGTCGCTATCATTGTAAGGATTCGACGGAGACTTTCATTTCGTCGCGATCCTTGGGGGGTGATTGGGCTCTGCACAACGAGCTGTCTTCCTAGAAAATGGATCTGACGCGGCGATAGCGTGACCAAGGATTGGATAGCTAGTCACTCTTCTCTCAACAATATTGTCATTGATACTCAGTGAGCTGTTGGCTATCAAACACAATGCATCCATTTGAAAGCCTAACTTTGCAATCTTGCAGATTTCCTCCCGAGGCGAAAGCAGCGAGCGTTCCCGGGTAGCTTTACTGGTCTTTCAATGGTATGGTGATCTAGCTCTTGTCTTGAGTTCCCGGTGATCATCAGCTAAGGGAGGCATTGCTATCCAGAAGAGAAGACCTAAATTTTCACAGACCGATGCCCTGTGGATGTTCCGTCCTGTGCCCGTGCAAGCCAAGTGTAAGCTGAGGTAGTTAAAGTACATCTCGGGAGCTTGCAGAAACGTGCCTTCTTCTACAAGTATACTTTGCTAGGGTCCAGCAGAGCCCAGGGACGATGAGATGCATGTGATAAACTCCGCTATTGCTTGTAGGGCTGTTCCCTCATATGAGGTGAGTGTCATTGTAGGAGATTCTCTTTCATCGCATGTGTCCGCGCAAGTCCCTATACAGGACTATTAGACTAAAGACAACTCCACTACGCCGTCTGCCATTACAAACTACAGGTCTCTTAGGTTGTTTCGATTACCTAGTCTGTACGACTTACAGGGTCGCTATTGGTCGAGCTTCAAGTTTCATTTAACGTTGTGCTATGTAATACGCGGATAGTATCGTACGAGGCACGTCACCTTTTCCGCTATAGACTATACTTCGCGACATCACCTTGAACATGAGGTTCAACTTATTTGCATCCTCAACGTCGCAACTAACTCGTATCACTTCTGATGTCGTAACTCTGTATTTGAGTTTCATCATCTGGGCAGTTTTATACTCTCTAGCTCGAGAGGCAGAAAGTCAATAGACCGGGGTGATTCGCTTTCAAAAAAGTGGTTTCCACAACTGCTTCATTGCCCAAAGTCAAAATCGACGACGGCCCAGAGTGACAGTCTCTATCTTGAAGGCGCGGGAGACATAATGGCAAACGCGAAATGAGCTTTCAACTTTGTACTTGATCGCCTGCTTAGACTATAGGTACCTTTTTCACTAATACGTCATGACGTGAGTTCCACCGTTGATGGACCAAATATCACCAGTAATGTACGCCGCATCAGGCGAAATCATAAACGCCAACAGCGCGCCAACCTCCTCCAGCTTACCCAGTCTCCGGAGGGGGACCCTCTTCAGGCCCTCCTGCATGGCCGGGCTGGCGGCGATGCCCCTCTCGAGGGCGGCCGTGAGGATGGGGCCGAGAGCAACGGTGTTGCAGCGGACGTTGTCCGGGCCGTAGGTTGCTGCCGTGTGCCGGGTGAGGGCGTGCACAGCGGCCTTTGAGGCTGCGTAGGCTACGCGGATTGGCTCCGGTGTGCCCATGTAGTGGCCGCCCATCTTTAATTCAGTCAGCTTTCTGACTTTCCTCATACGTTTGCTGCAAAATCGCTGGGGAGAGGAGAGCGACTTACACTAGAAATGTTGATAATCGTACCCCCACCAGCCGCCTTCAAATGCGGCAGCGCATACTTGGTCGTAAGAGCATACCCCGTAGTATTCACCAAAAATGTGCGCTGCCACACGGCGGCATCCATATCGAGCACCGACTTGTCGTTGCCCAAATTCTGAGGGCTCAGGTCGGCGCCGATGTTGAGCAGGCTGTCAAGCCCGCCGCCGAGCCACTCCGTACCCTGGGCAATCAGGTTCTTGATGGACTCCTCGTCCGAGAGATCGAACTCGACGACGAGGGCGCTGCCGCCGGCCGCGGTGATTTCCTCGCCGACCTGTTTGGCGGCCGAGATGTTGATGTCGGCGACGACGACTTTGGCGCCGCGGGCGGCGAGGAGCTTTGCGGTGCCGGCGCCGACGCCTGTTGCTGCGCCGGCTACAATTACGCGGAGTCCTTCGACACTGGCCATGATGATTTTTAATTAGGGAGGATTTGAAAAGGGGGCTGGAAAGTGTAATGGAATTACGACGAGTCGGTCTTGAAATGGGATGATGCAGCGGTTCAGAGATGCAACTTTCAACATTCACTCATATTCCAGGATTCAGCTATCGCTTTCTTATACGTCAATTCTTCAACCCCATCCAAACTATAAAGCTCACATTTCGTACCGCTGTACGAGCCAAAACCACAGCTTGCCGTACAGCCTGTGCTGTGCTGTGTTCTGTTACAACTTTACAATTGGAACGAGGCAGACTCGGGATCGCTTCGTTAAACACCCCCTGGCAATGCGGAACCGAAACCGAGACCGGGGCAGTCTCTAGGCCTCTGTAGTTTCATTGGCGCGCGGGGAATTAACAAAACGCTTTTTCCCGCCTAATGCTGGTTCGGCCCAGAGCTTGGCGATGATCCCAAGCTTGACGGATAGCTCCCCCTCAACCTACCTGTCCCTGACTCCTGCAAGATAATGCTCGCAAGACACACGCCAATGTCATGCTGCGGCCACATGTATGGGCACCTTCTCTGCATATCTTTAGTTATACGCGGATAGCCTGAGCAATTAGAAATGCCGTCTCGAAGATAATGCCCAATGGCAGGGCGGGAAATCGTAATCCTACCCCCCTTTCGCCGAGCTCTAGGATCCCCCGCTTGCTTAAGCTACCTAGTTTCCTACTCATGGATGGGAAAACGAGCAAAAAGCAAGGGCAGTGCAAGTCGCATATGCGAAAAGAAGGTTTAGGGAAGCTCGTCTGAACCGTGCCTCGTTAAACAAGACCTGTACCTGTCACCCTATGTTTTGATGAGACGGCTTGGATGTAGAGTCCGAGGAGGTGGAGGGAGGGGGGGCAAGGGAAGCGAAGGGTTTGGGCGAAACGCAGTCGAACGACTTATATAAAACCACGAGGCACGTCTCTCACTGCCGGACGACGAGACAGCGACACTTTTCACTTCACCTACCCTACCCTACGCTAACTCCCCTTCACTGTGAGCTTGTTTCCTCTTTGACACAGATCTCACTTCCCCTTTCGACAGAAGCTTGATCTCTTCTTCTTTGAAGCCTCGCGACCATGGCGGATTCCTCGAGCGCCGCCGCGACCGCAGTCGCTACGCTGTTGGAGCGCTTCAGCTCGACATCTTCCGTCAAGCTGATTGCCTCGGCTGTAGCCCTCGTCGTCACGATCCTCATGGTCATTGACAAGTTCGTCGCCGCGCCCGTTGATCCCCGCGAGCCCCCCGTCGTCAAGGGCCTTCTCCCCATCATCGGCCACTGGATCACCGTGAACACATCGTATCCTGGTGTCTACGAGAAGCTGGCGTAAGTCGAACAACACCTCTCAACGCTTTAGACGCTCTAGAAACGCCCCCCAGAGGCAGGACCTCATGAAGAGCATCATGGCAAAGATACATCACTAACAGCCAAATCTCTCTACATGCAGTAAACGCACAAAGCTCCCCATATGCACAATCCCCGTCCTCGGCAAGAAAATGTACGTCATCAACAGCGCGCCCTTGGTCCAGAGCGCCATGCGCAACAAGACGCTCGAGTTCGGCGCCCGCATCGAGGAGATTGGCCGCGCCATGGGCATCAACCCGGACATCACCCACCGCCTCGTCAAGGAGAACGCCGTCGAGGAGATCTCCCGCGTCACCATCTCGGCCCTGTCCGGCGAGAACCTGCTCAAGCTGAACCTGAGCGCCCTCGACTACATTGGCAGCCGCTTCAACGAGGTGAAGCCCGGAAGCCCCGAAAAGATTGATGATGTGTTTTACTGGGCTCGTGGGTTGATTGGTGTTGCGACGACGAGGGCTTTGTATGGCGAGCATAGCCCGTTTAACAATTTGGAGCTGGTTGATGCCATCTGGTACGTTTTCATCCCGTTCTCTTTACCGTCGCGTTTTCTTCTGTTCTCCCTGTCAGTGTGTAGCTAACATTCTCGGCGCAGGACATACGAGAGCGGCATGGGCAAGATGCAATACGGCTGGATCTCCAAAATCATCGCCGGCAAAGCCCTCGAAGCCCGCAAAAAGATCGTCACGGGCCTCGTCGGCTACTACATGCGCAAGATGGACCAGGGCCCGACCGTCTCCGCCACCATCCGCGGCCGCGCCGAGTTCTGGCGCGGCTTCGGCCTCTCGGACATCATGCTCGGCGCCATGGACTCCCTCCCCGCCGCCTCGACCGTCAACACCGCGCCCTCCATGTTCTGGCTCATCGTCAACGTCTTCGCCAACCCAAAATACCTCGCCCGCGTCCGGGAGGAGGTCGAGTCCTCGGCCGCGCTGGCTGTCACCGCCGAGGGCGGGAAACGCGTCGCCACCATCGACGTCACGGAGCTGGGCAAGTCGTGCGCCTACGTCGTCGCGTGCTACCGCGAGACGCTCCGCTCGGAGAACACCGTCACCGGCAGCCGGACCGTCACGAGCAAGGACACGACCATCACGGACCACGAGACGGGAAGGCAGTACCTCCTCAAGGAGGGCGTCGAGGTGCAGTGGAGCGCGTCCGTGATGCACAAGAAGCCCGTCTGGGGTGAGGACGGCGAGGAGTTCAACCCGGAGCGGTGGCTCAAGAACACGCCCGACATTGCCAAGGGCACAAAGGAGTCGTTTGTACCGTTTGGCGGCGGCAAGCACCTCTGCCCCGGCCGCAACTTCGCGTTTGCCGAGTTGTTGGGCGCGGTGGCGTGCTTGGCTGTCGGGTTCGAGCTCGAGGGCGTGCAGGTACCGGATCATGAGATGCCTTTCTCTACTTCGGGTCTGCGGTCGCCGATTTATGGAAGCAAGTCTAGCAAGGCGACTCTTTCGAGGCGGGCTGGATGGGAGGATGTTGAGTGGAGATTTAAATAGAGGATCGAGGTGTTTCTTTGTATGGTGCGTTGGGCTTTTTAGGGGTAGTAGATATACATGATTGGCGAAGCAGGAATAGGGGTTTCTTGGTTCGTGTCCATAGGTATGAGACTGAGATGAATACCACCAGAATATTTCTTTTTGTTCATCATCAGTTGACACCTGGCCTTCTACTGAACAAAATAGAATGGTAACGGCTTATTTGGAAGCTGAATCAGGGACTTGTTTTGCTGAAAGAACGTGAAATCTCTGTATGACAACCCTCCGGCGGAGTCTTAGGCCATGAAGAACATGCTGCGCGTTCGACTTCAATAAGTGGATGAACGTAATGCAGAACCATTCATGTCATCAAAGCGTATTCTCATTTTCTTATCTCTAGGGTTGTCTATTGTCATCATAATCCTTTACAGCACGCCGGTACTCCTCACTCTCGGAGTCTCAACTTTTCTTTTCTCCCCTATGAAAACCTCGCTCGCCAAAGACACACCCTCACCTCAACTCCACCGTCAGCCGACAACATCGCGCCCCAACCCAAAACACAGAAATAACACAAATGCGTTTATGCCTTGGACAACAGGTTCGCGCCAGTCATCTCCTCAGGCTGGGGCAGACCCATCGCAGCCAAGACGGTAGGCGCAACATCACCCAGGACACCGCCCTCCTTCTTGAGGCTCCAGCCCTCGGGGGCGTTGGCCATGATGAAGGGCACCTTGTTGGTGGTGTGCGACGTCTTGGGCTTGCCGTCGGGGAACTTCATCTCCTCGGCGTTGCCGTGGTCGGCGGTGATGAAGAGGACGTAGCCCTCCTTCTTGCAGGCCTCGTAAATCTTGCCAATGGCCTTGTCCGTGGCCTCGACGCCGACGACGGCGGCCTCGTACACGCCCGTGTGGCCGACCATGTCCGGGGGCGCAAAGTTGTTCATGACGAAGGGGAATTTCTGCTCCGCCAGACGCTTGGCGACCTGGTCGGCGACGCCGTCGGCCGACATCTCGGGGGCCTGGTCGTAGGTGGCGACGGACTTGTTGGAGGGGACGAGGTCCTGGGACTCGTCGCGGGTCTCGAGGGCAAAGACCTTTTCGACGCCGCCGTTGAAGAAGAAGGTGACGTGAGCGTACTTTTCCGTCTCGGCAATGTGGACCTGCTCGACGTTTTGCTTGCCGAGCCACTCGGCGAGGACGTTGCCCATGTGCTGGGGCTTGAAGGCGATCTCGAAGGGGTAGTCGACCTTGTACTGGGTCATGGTGACGAGGTTCTTGATCTTGGGGAACTTGAAGTCGGGGAGGACGGAGCGGTCGACGTCGCCGAGCACCTGGGTGATTTGGCGGACACGGTCGGAGCGGTAGTTGAAGAAGAAGACGGTGTCGTCGTCTTGGGATTTCTGTTAGTTATGAAGTGTGGGGTTTTGGGGAAAGAGATGCTCACCCTTGATGCGGCCCTCGTCGCCGCCGACAATGATGGGAGTCAGGAACTCGTCCTTGTCCTTGTCACCGCCCTTAGCGTAACGCTCCTTGACGGTCTTGACGGGGTCGGTGCTCTCCTCGCCCTTGCCGTTGATCAAGCCGTCGAGGGCGATCTGAACCCTCTCCCATCTCTTGTCACGGTCCATGGCGTAGTAGCGGCCGACGACGGTGGCGATCTCACCAATGCCAATCTCCTTGGCGGTCTTGACGAGCTCCTCCATGTAGCCAGCGCCGGACTTGGGGTCGGTGTCACGGCCATCGCCGAAGAAGTGGATGTAAACCTTAGGAACGCCGTACTGCTTGGCGGCCTTGAGGAGGTTGTAGAGATGCTCTTGCTTGGCGTGCTGGGAGGGTTGTGTGTTAGACGGTCATAAGTCTTGGGCTGGAAGATGGGCTGGAACTCACCACGCCACCGTGGGAGACGAGACCGCAGAGGTGCAGTCTGCCGTTGCCGTTCTTGGCACCCTCAAAAGTCTTCTTAATGACCTCGTTGTCGGCGAACTTGCCCTCCTTGATGGTCTGGTCGATGCGCACGACGTCCTGCCAGACGACGCGGCCGGCGCCAATGTTCAGGTGACCGACCTCCGAGTTACCCATCAGACCCTCGGGCAGGCCGACGGCAATGGAGGAGGCGTCGAGCTCGCAGTATCCGGTCTTGCTCTGGGCGAAGTCGTCCATGACGGGGGTCTTTGCGTTGGTGATGGCGTCGCCATCCTTGGGGGAGTCGGCGCCGGGCACACCCCAGCCATCAATCACGACTGTAGGAGCGCAAGATCCACAAGATTAGCCAGCCGACTTGGAGATAGAGGATGATGTAGGCAAGGGTGAGGATGTAATCGGGATTGGATTTGGGAATTAGTTGCGGTTGCGGGAGAGGCGAGGGGACTGTTTCTGCTGGCGGCGCGTTCTGGTGGTTTTGGTGGCCAGCCTCGACAACACTCACACCACCACCATCTCCATCACCGCGGGGCTTCGACGAGGGGCACGGAGGGTCTGGAGGGAGATCTTTGGACGTACTCAGGCAGGCCTTCTGGTCGGTCTTGGCCATGGTGAATTAGGTTATTTTCTGTGCAGCAATTTCTTTACAGAAGGGGGTATCTGGATGAAAGCAGAGTTCTAGGAAGTGCGTGATTTTTTCTGTTCTGGGAGATGGAGACTTTTATTTACGGCGTCGGCGGTGGTGGTGAGAGAAGTGCCAGGCTGGTTGAGGAGATTTGATTGAATCAGCCAATGTACCACCTTTTCTTAGGTACAGTGAGCTTTCCCGGCGCCTGGGCTGTTTTATCGGTGTCGGTGGTTTGGTGGGGGTTTATGTCATAGTATCGCCGATAATAGATCCGTGCCGTGGCACTCCGTAATCACACTGTCTACACAACCGTTGTTTCCGTAGTATGTACAGTATCAACCCCGTCAGACACGGTGCGGGCTGCCCGGCTGCCCCTCTGTTGACTTTCAACAATTTTTAGCTACCAATCGCCGCGCCGCTAAAACGCCCGTGGAAGCTCCTTGCCCCGGCGGAGCTTCCCCCCTCCCTTGGCCCTTGGCCCTTGCCGTTCCAGCTTGACACGACCCTGGACGCGGACGGACCTCACCGAGCAAGTGCTTCTCTCACCTCACCTCATCTCATCCCACCTGGGTACTGTACCTACGCCTCCATCTCCCCGTCCATTGATTTTCCAAGCCTCGAGCACGCAGCCAACGACCATCCTTTCTCCATCACGCACCTACCGCGAGGCTGAGAATAGCCCGATACCTCTCCACAAATCACCCGTTTCACCGACACTTCTCACCACACTTCTGTCGACAACGCATAACGTCTCCTCTCCGTTCATACATGACCCCGAGACCGAGCCAAACCAAACCACCAAAATGCCGCCTCACCCCCTCGAACTACCCCCAACCCTCTCCCCAGACGCCCTCGACACCCTCACCGAACTAACAGGCATCCTAACCCGCCTCCGAACCGCAATCCAAACCTCGGGCTCCTCCTCCTCCTCCATCGGCGGCGGCCTCACCACAGGCGCAACCCCAGCCGGCGCCGGCGCCACACCCAACCCTCTCGGTTCCGCCGCCGGCGGTGCCGCCAGCCCCAACGCGCCGCTCTCCCTCAAAGACGTCCCCGCGCAGACCGACGCCCTCAAGCACAAGCTGCAGCGCGCCCGCACGCAGATGCGTACCCTCCCGGATATGGAACGGACCGTTGAGGAACAGGAGGAGGAGATCAAGGAGCTTGAGGAGAGGATACGGATGCAGCGTGAGGTGTTGGATCGGTTGCGGGAGGCGGGTGTGAAGTTTGGGCATGAGGAGGGCGGGAGGGGGGATAAGATGGAGACTGAGTGATGGGAAGGATGGAACACGTGCGGTGGAAGAAGACTTCAAGCGAGAAGTTGCGAAGGTGAACGAATGCAAGAGGAGAGGGGGAAAGATTGGGACGAAAAGTTTTTGCCAGATTGAATTATTATGATACCCCGATATGCGAACTACCAAACGAAGAAGTTTTGGACAGAAGAGGACGCTGTTTTTCTTGCGCCAAAACATATTATGCATCCCTTGCGATACCTGGCAAAACCGCCTTCCTTGAAACTCCAAACCAGGATTCGACCCAGGAAACGTCTGCAAGTAGCGATGACCTCTCACTTTCCCGCATCCCGTCGATGTACAGCATGTTCCATCCGATTTTCAATGCTTCTGGACCCCGACCGCCTTGAGGATATCGTGCAAATCTTTGCCGCGCTCGCCCGGCACAACCTTTGTCCAAATCTCCTCGGCCAGCCTCTTCTCCTCGGGCAAGATGCTCCAGTTCGGACTGGGTTCTGATTTGAGCCACTTGAAGTCGTCTACTTGGTCCCACTGGTTCTTGGTGGGATCTTCTGTGGTGTCCTTCTCGGCAGTCAGCGGCTGATATCTCAAGGAAAAAAAGGGGGGGGAGGGGGAGAAAAAGAAGTATGGACGAGTAGGGGTTTACTTACAAAGCTAGGCGGCAACGGCGCAAAGCGCATATTCGAACAATCCTCGATAATCGGGTGACTCGAGCAGTGCAGATAAATATCAACGTTCCTGCACTCGTGTATGCGCACCTGCCGCGCAGAAACGACAATGATACTATCCGACACCCCCGTAATATGCGCCGGCCCAGCTACGTTTCCCGCAACAATCAGACTCCTCTCGACGTTTTTGAGCGCCAGGTTCGCAAACGAGGTGTGGCCCGAGAGCGCGATGGACATGTCCACTACACACCCTTTCAGATCGGTCAAGCGGCCCGAACTCGTCGCTCTCGACGCCGAGGACGGGAGGATGATGTGCAGGCCGTCTTGGCCGAAAATTGCAATGTCCTTTGCGGTAGAGAAGCTGGGTTTCCGGACCTTGGTGGCGCTGGGGCGGGCCATTTCCTCGTTGTAGTTCTTTGGGAAGTTGGGGAGATCGCCGAGGCCGTCTGAGTCCGTCTCCGTGGCGGCCTGGGTTACGGAGGAGGAGGGAGGAGCGGTGACCGGGCCGCCGCGGGATGGGGGGAAGGGGTCGGCAAGGCTTGCCCCTACAATGAGACGGGGGTCAATTTTGGGCGCGGCTGGGCCATTGGTGGTTGATGTTGTTGCTGAGCTGGCTCCGCGAGGTTTGAACTGGAAGCGGGAACGCGGGGCCAGCTTTGCCGTGGTCTCATTCAACTTGTCTGTGAGAGCTTTGACGGACTGGTAAGTGAAGGGGTGTCAACGAGATGCAATAGGAAGCCTGAGTAAGTTATGGACTCAAACCCACCTGGGCGTAGTTCCGCTGGTCATACGAGGGAACATAGTCGGAAGCGTCGGCGACTTCGTTGGAGAGATTCGATATACCGGCCAGGATGTGATCAATGGCGTCCTGCCTCTCACCACCGACCTGAGATATGGAGCTCACATTGTCGATCTGCTCTTGTAGACCTGGGTGCGGGGTTCTTTGTTAGTATGCGGCCCAGAAAACATCAGACGACCATTCGGTCCTTGTTTTACGGGGCCAACGTACTGATGACTTCTTCTTGAAAATGGTGATAAAACCTCTCTTTCGGATCCTGCATCTTGGTTACTGGGAGTCCTCCACCTACGGCAAATTGCTGAAGTACTTCGGGTGCCATTGTCGTCGTAGTGGCAGGGTATAGGTAGGAAATGGAAAGGTGGAAATCGTATATGATTTTATATGTGAAGGAACAGAGCCCAGCCAGAAAAGAAGCTCGGGGCTTGTGTTTCAAGCGAGGAAGGGATGAAGATTTGGGCCTACCTAATGAGAGGTAAGGCAAAGTAGACAAGCTTGGTGTAAGACGATTCAAAAAGTGGCGTGTCTTCAGACGGTGGGGTGTGCGACCAAGTCTGTCTTTAAAGTCCCGTCGTCTACACGGTCAGTGCCAAAAATCGAACCACGCGACTTTCTGATTGCTTGCTTCGTGACAGTGTACGCAGTATCAGCGTACCAAGTCAACGTAGCTGAGTTTGTTGTGACGTCGCTTGCGCAGTGGCTGGCGGGGAAGAGCCAAAAGGGGACCAGGGTGACAGGAACGAGCTGGAAGATCCGGGGATGGACGAGGTCTTGCAACTCCCGAAGTGGGTGTGGTCGTCCAAAGTGAGGTTGTCTTGGGGTGTCTGGGGGTGTTAGGGTGGTGGTGTGTGTATGGTAGGAGGCGGAAGCGAAGAAAAGCACGTTACTTCCATACGCGAAACAGGTGCCGAATCGGACGATGAAATGCAGGCAGGAGTGAGGTGATGGGTTCCTTCTGTACCTACCTATGATGGTGGGAAGACCGTTAAAGACGGCGTGAGGGGCACGGAAGGGACGCTTCCCATTTGGCGCTTGCCACCCCGGTCGACGTTGGGAGCCGGCCGACGCGGATTGGCCGCTCGGTCGATCGGTCGGGTTTTCTTCAGTGCTCTTAGTGGGGACCCTGGACCGGCGTGAATGTGGGGTCCTCTTCCTTTCCCTCCTAACTTCGATACGTGGGTACCTATATTCAATGTTCTCGTCATGCATATCAGTCACGCGAGTGGCAGCCAACATCACCACCGAGCAGCGAAACTACTGCATTGGGGTCTGACAAACAATCGAATCAAGCGGGGGGGGTTGGTGTGTTTGCTGTTCCATGCTGCTTGTGGTTTAAGGTCCTGCTCGAACAGCAAACGAACGCTTCGCCTCCCCCGCATTCCCCGGATACTGACGCTCTGCCAAGACATCCCGGGACCCTGGATCGACGATGAGCTTGGCTGTCTGACGTCGTCTCACTGTCCCAGGCTACTGAAGGGATGAGTTGGGACGAGGCAGTGGATGAAGGAGGTAATCACTGCGAGAACGAACATATCGAGCGCTAGTATCGGTGCAAGTTGATGAGCCAGCCTGGTGCTAGGTCAACGGATGAAGCCTCGGAAGAATTGTCATTCCCTGCACTGATACGTGTAACACCAGCTGAGGAACATCCGGTCTTTTAGAGTTTTGGGGTACAGGAGGGAGGAGGCCTACCATCGTCATCTTCCCGTCTCTCCCTTGCATGTAGAGATTTCTTGCAAGCTTACTGTGCTGGCGTCAGACGATACACCTGTTGTACATGCAAGTACAACTTGAGACGACTTTATAGCACGTAGACCGCTTTGCGCAATGATATACAAAAGCAATTCGTTCCGATAAGGCTCAGTGTCAAATCGCATCGTAGACATTTGACAAATGGCTGCTTCTCACAGACAATCTAAAGAAACCATCGAATACGAGACGAACCGTGTTGCGGCAGATGTAGCAGTTGATTCGTGGGGAAATGCTCGACAATATCTATGCTTGTTTCGACAACTCCAAACAAAATCCATGTAAGGCTTACATGTTGGTGAGGCTCTTCATGGACGTTAGTCGTTAATCATGGCGAAGAGGCATTGGGTGATGGATGGGAGTAGGTGAGAAAGGGAAAGCGGTAGTCAATTTATTGAAACAACTAAACGCCAACACCAAGGCCGTAAGTCATGGCCATCTTCGCCGTATAGTAACCCGAAGAATACAACGGCGATATCCAAGAAGAGAGCAGAGAAGCTTCGTGCTCATTCCTCCAGAAGCAACCTTTGCCCCCCAAGAAGAGGGAAGAGGGAAGAGACAACATATGCTCATTCCTCAATGTCACCTTTCTCCCCCACAACCCCCCTCAAACATCTTCTCAAGCTCCCTCCTCAGCACTCTAAGCCTCTCCTCCGCCTCCCCCTGCTCCCGATCCATCTTCCGACTCCACGCAGGGAAATCTCCCGCCGCGCCAATCCTCTCGAGCGCCTCAACCTTGGCCCTCCTCTCGGCCACAAACTCCTCCACCCGGACCTTCTGCAGCCGCCAGAGCCGCTCCGCCTCCTCGAGCTTCTGCTGTCTCGCCCGGCGCCGCTGGCTGCGTTGGTTCACGCGCGCGAGACGCTTCTGCCAGCTGCGGCTGCCCTTGGGAAGTGCGGCCTCTGCCTCGCGCAGGTTGACGTGTAGGACCGCGTCCTCTTTTGGCTCCTCGGGGCGGTTGGCGTCGTGGATCTTTTCCCAGTTGCCCGGGCAGAGTTGCGTTTCTGCGTTGGCGGCGTATTGCTGTTTCCTACGGCGAGCCTCGCAGGGCTTTTGGGCTCGTTGTCCCTCTGGGATTTCGTCGCCCGTGAGGATGTCGCCGTCGGGGGTCGTGAGGAAGACCAGGGGCGTGTAAAGCTGTTGGTGCTCGCGTAATGCGGTCTCTTCTTTTTCCTCTTGCTGTCGCTCTTGCTGTCGTTCTTGCTCCAGCTCCAAATTTTGCTCCATCCGCTGGTCATACTCCTGCTGTTGCCACAGGCGGTAGGCGTTGCGGAGCTGTCTCCAGTCGCCTGGGCAGAGGAACGTCTCTGCGTTGTTGATGTGTTTTGTGCGCAGATTCAGGGACTCACGGGACTCGGTGCACCATGTTCCCTCTGGGATAGCATTGCCGAAGAAGACGTTTCCCTCGGTAGTGGTGAGCATGATGCTAGGAACACCAAGCTTCTGTTGCTTAAGTTCTTCAGGTACGACATTCTGCACCATGTGGTATTCGGCCTCTTCCTCGTCCACGTCCTTGATAGCAGAGGAGTCTTCTTCCCACCATCTCTCGTTCTCGTCCTCTTCCTCGTCTTCGACCGCGCACAGGTCGTAGTCTCCGCTACTCCCATCGGCGCCGTCAAACCAACTGGTGCCGTATTGACGACGCCAATGAGAGAGCTGGGCGGCGGTGGCGGTCTGGGTATTCATGGTGGTATACATAACTACGGTTGGCGGATGATGAGAGGTGAAGAGAAATTTAGAAAAGAGAGTAGGGTAGTGAGAAGAGAGTGGGTTTAGAGAGTAGAGTGATGAGACGACAATAGGTTAGTTTGAAGAGAAGCGAGTGCTTGTTAGTTGTATGGGAAGTTAGGAACTGGCATATGCCGATGTAGTGAAGCAGAGATGGGTTGTGGATAGGAGATAGAAGAGAATAAGACTGCCAAGACGAGGGACATCTGTCTATTATATATCTATCAAAGGATTACACGATCACCAAGGCTGAATCAAAAGGTAACGGAGATGGATTCTAGGGCTGGGACAGAATGGTTGATGCGATGCTATCTCCGAACGTCGTCAACCTTTGTAGTCGACCAAACCTCGGTCTAGACGAAGTATAATTGAAAAACCTGGTTGAGCGACTGACACTGTGAAAAGCCTCAATGCTTTGCAATGTGCTCTCAGACTATTGGCTTAGAAAATGAGCACGCCTGGTGTCAACCACCAAGAAAAGGTTGTGACAGTCAATTACACTTTTGATCGGAACACCTCAACTTCTTTGGACTATTAGTGATTCTACCCTACATCAAGGCAATGCATGGCGGAGGCACTGTACATCTGAATCGTTGTCGACGCCAAAAAGTGTTAATCACTCCCTGAGCATACACCTTCGACTATCCAAGCCCCCCAACCCTCTGTTCCACAGATCCCAGGAACCCGCATGACCGTTGCAATAGATCAAAGTAGCGGGCCGTCAACCTGGTGAAATCTGTCCCGTAACCACGGTACCGGTATCTCAAGGTCTTCTTCACAATCACTCTCAATTCGAGTACCAAGCTACCCAATTCACACCACCGGGCCATGTTCATAGTTCGCTATGGCTGGTCACGTCTTCACAGAGTTACTCACGGCATGGGGGGTTGTAGATAGCAAATATGTATCTAGATTTTCAACACGCTCAAAGCAAGTAACAAATACGGGAGCTACCGGATGCCCAGACATTTCAGGTAGACGTACACTTGACGCCCTTGACGCCATCAACAGTCGTCTCCTCGCACTTAATCGCCGAAGTCGAAGTGAACACCAAGCTCACGGTGCCGTTCGTCGACGCCTCGTAGCTGACACTGTGAAAACACCAATTTATCAGCATCGTCTAACTTTTTCAAGGAGAAGAAGCACAAAAAACTTTGGGCGTTGGCCTTTCGCTGTCCACCTCACAACCCTCCCGCAGTCTGGTCCAGGTTTTGGATGAAGGGGAAGTGGTAATGACCCAGCCCGTAGTGAAGCGGTCTGAGTTGGTTTCTGCTTACCTGGAATTGAAGTTGATCGGGTTGATGCCGATTCCCAGACCAATGTTCATTGTGTCCTTGGTGATTGTGAAGCCACCGCCGAGACCAAAGGCTTCAGAGCCGGATTGCAGACCACCTGGTGAACACAAAATGCGTCAGCTCGTTATCCTTCTTCAATAAAAGAAAGGCACCTCGTCGCCTCGAATTCCTCCAAGTCACCCCTCTCCATCCGCTGAGTGGTCAAAAGCATAACCACCCCCCACCCCCTTCTTGCGTATCCTCTCCTTTCACAACCACATCCAATCCAATTTTCAAGTTCATCTCCTCAAACACTCCCAGAACTCTCAACTCAGGAGACACTTGGAAGACAGACATCCTCCTTCGTCCCGTTCAAGAACTCACCCCCAAAAGACTGCCCTTCAGCCCAATTAATCCCACAACCAACCCCAATTCCGCCAAACGGCGCCAGCGTTCCCGCGGCACTAACAGCGCCCGACCCCGTCGTCGCCGAGACGTTCTTATTCAGCGCCGTGATATCGACCGCAGCCTTCGTCTCGTTATCCTGTCGCGTGGTCAGGAGGCTGCCTGCCGATGCGAGGCCTGCCACGGCGAGGAGCGCGAGGGTTGAGCGGGCCATTATTGCTTCTCGTTTCGGGGGAGGATGTTATTCGGTTATGGACGGTGTTTCGTCGATCGCAGATTCGTGGTTGATTTACGTTTAGTCGAGTAGATGCCGCAGGTAGAACGAGTGACTGTGGTGAGTAGAGGTAGTTGGCGAGAACCTCACGATGCTCACCCCCCGCGGGAACGAGGTGGGACGGAGACTTATATCTCACCGCGCCCCCACGCGCGCGCGGCCCTCAGCATCTACGTAGTAAATGGCTGGGATGATCATGATCCTATAACCCGGTAAAAGGGGCGGAGGGGAGACACAGACAACTCCATCACCAGAAACTCTAAAAGATGAAGTCCTGCGAGAAGTGGATCGCGGCGCGGCTTCCCCGGCATTGGGTGAACATGGACAACCCCGTCGACGTTCGTCTCAAGTTTGGGAAATTGTGAACACGCTGTGTTACCTGTGCTGAGAGCCTTATTGGTCTTTCTTAATTTACACCCGTTGGTAAAAGAGTGTATTTGCGATGATCCTGGTCCCTGCGGCAGGAGAAGAAAGGTCCTCTGTGCCCGACGGAGTGGTTCGCACTTAAACTCCGAGAAGCATCAGCGCCAAGAGAACCTCGAGCACTTGATGGGCAGAACGTTCGAGACTACCTGCGGATACTGAGGAGTGCATCGCGACCACGGGTTGAAGGCCATTGTACGGAGTACAACGTGCTTTGCTTTCACGGTTGCTATCCACGTTGTGCTATTTACAAGAGACCGAAGCGAAATACCCTTGAGAGTGGAAGGGTGCTTTGGGCACGATCTCACGAGTCAGGTCGGGGTTTTGGTCCAGCTATATTTCACAGGCTCTAATCCCGTGACTGATATTGGGGAAGTTGTCCAAAAACTTCCGCCCGATGATCTCTAGACTCTAACCCGAGCACCTCGCAAGTTCTAGAACCGCTGCTGCCAATCTACGAATACATTCCAACCGTCAAATTCTCCGGCCGTATGTCAAACGGTCTTAGATCGCGTAGCAAGTCGCATGTCCTATCTGGCACGTGAGAGACGGGATGTACATTCCTGACCAAGTAAACTTTCAGCTAAGCTCGGAGCTATGATGCGATGTGTCCCATCACACAGCTACGGACGTAAAACCTTCTACATTCCAAGTGACTCACCACTGCTGTTCGCAGAAAAAGGGGAACAGAGAGGGAGGAGACCAGCGAAAAAAGTTCAAGACATGCTTAGCATAGTGAGATATCCGTGTTTCCTAGACCTAAGTCGTCAAACCACTTGTAGTACATGGAACAAAATCCGCGAGGACGTTCGTTCTTCATGAGTGTAACACCACTTCTTTCTTCCCGCTCATCAGGATCCTGCCGTGAGTTGGCGGTTTCGCCCAGCGAAAAACCGCGTGATCCTGTTTGTCTCTCTCTATCTAAAGTGCCTTTCCCCAAGAACCCTGCCCTATTTCTAACAATTCTTTTGTATCATTCGTTTCATTTTCCATTTCACATAGTCCATTTCTCATAAACCCGTTCAGTTCCCCGTTTTTGTTTCCCGTGTACACATATGGTAGTAACCCCGTCTAAAATCTTGAACCCAACAGCAGCTGTGCAGAGGGGTGGAATGCTGCGCGCAGTTCAAGGTGCTCTGCCCCCTGTGTTCTACAGGCCACTTAATCCACACACACAAGAATGAAAGAGAAGAATGATGAAGAGAAAAACACATGAAGCAGCTACATGTAGTAATGCAGGAGAGTAAAAGCCGGACCCAAGAGTGAGGCCTCAAACCACAATCGGGTTATGAGAATCAGCCCCCTGGTCCTCAACCATCTCCAGGAACCGGGAGCACGGCGGCAGCCTCACACGCGCTCGGTGCGAACTAGCAGGCCACGCCCGGATCGAGTCGTAAAACTCGAGCCGCATGGGCGTCGAGGAAGCGTGCAGCCTACGCAGGTTGTTGGATTTGAGTAGCGAGATGCGCGGCGGCGTCAGGCTTAGGCGTCGGACGGCGGGCTCCGAGTGCTGGCGTCTGCGCGTTCGGATTTGCGCGGCTGTCACGGACGCCAGAGGCGGCGGAGGCGGAGGAGACTGGTGAAGCTGAGAGGTGCGCTGTTCCGGCAGGAGTTGCAGCTTGGGCGGCAGAATCTCTGTCGGTGTTCGAGGGGGTGGCGACCCGGATGCCACGGAGCTGCGGTCCCCTGCTGCTGCTGCTTCGAAATTACCATGTTCTGCACCGGCAAGGTGCAGAGATACGGGGCGGGAGTCGTAGGAGTGGCTGTAGCTGTGCTGGAAGGCCGCGCCTCCGCGTCCTCCTCTTGGTCCCGCGTGCTCTTCCGCCTCTCGTCTGTTAAACGCGGCAGCAGCGCGGGACTGCACTCTCCTCTTGCGCGCAAACTCGGAATTGAGAGAGCTCATCAGCCTCTCGAGCACCTTCCAGGGGAAGATGACGGTGCCCACCTCCCAGGCCCTCCCAGCACCGAGCTCCGTGGAGAAAAAGCTCGTCCACGCGCGTGCGTTGGAGCAAGGCTCGCCGAGAATCATGGCATCTGGCGAAGTTCGCATGCGGAGCATCAACTCGGATCGTTCCCGTTTGCTAAAGGGCACAAATGACATTGATGATGCGTTCACCATGTGCTGCAGTAGAACCAGGGCCTCGGATGCCTTGAAGAATTCGGCGTAGGGTCCTCCCAGAGCCAGGAAAGTTTGGCGGTAGCATGTGATGGTTGCTTGCCCTTGCTTTGTAGGGCGGCCTTGCTGCAGGATGAGAGTGACGGCGCGGTTGTTGCGGGTGAGGGTGACGGTGTAGTTCTGGTGAGGCGATGATGCCTCGCGAGACTGCCGTTGAGGGTGAGAGTTATCTCCCGAGCGAGATGCTGCTGCGCCAAGATAGCCATGTTGCTTGGTATCGATCCCTTGATCTGAAATTGCTTCACCCCCATATCGATATGAGCCTTGGCTTTCTGGCCAGAGACTTGTAACGCTGCAGCTATCCGAGTGGGAGCGTAGATGGGCATGGACAGGCCGACTCGGTGTTGGAGGCTGGACGACCGGTTCTGGTGCAAAATATGAGTCGAACTTGGTAGGAGGCGTCTCT